CCATTGATCGGTTGATGCGATTGTAATGTGTGAGTTTTCAAAAAAATCCTTGTTATAACGTTGCTAAATGCGAATGTTTGGATGGACAGATGTATGGATGTTTTCTATGTAACTCTATAAAAGCTGAATGGATCTTAGTGAGATTTAAACAACGATAGTTGCAGTGTGTAAATAATATGGTAGGGTACAGATTTTTAATTCCACGGGGACGAAGTCGTGGGCAACAGCTAGTAACTAACTAGCAAATAGAGACAAATTTGACACTGTTAATGTGGAGAAAATGTATTAGCAATTTTGAATCTCAAACAAAAGACTTTGCCAGTGAATTATGGTCAGGGCGACCATTAGTTAAATGAAATTCTTTGTTGAACATAAATATTTAATTGAAGACACTATTATCACTATCGGTTTCGAATAAAAAATATAAACGCAAATAAATCTTATCAACTCTCCACGTGTCTAGTGTAGAGTCTGATTACAAGCCACGTGCAAAACGTGCCCAAAACTAAACGACGTCTTAAATTTATCACAACGTACACTTCCTGTTATTTTATCAGATATCTTATCATCATCAACAATTTTTTAACTGTTTTTCGTAGTAAAACTAGCTGATTTTAATTATTTTAAGTGAGTGGAATAATTTGGTTTGTTATGCTTTTCTTTTTCAATTTTCCATTTGCCGTATACCAATGTGTTTTTCAATTTCCCATTTACATATGTATATTTATCCGACGTTTTTACAGTGAAGGAAAACATCGTGATGCAACCTGCACATATCTGAGAATAAATTCAAACATATGTGTGAAGTCAACCAATCCACACTGGGCCAGCGTGGTTGGCCCAAACACCCGTAATTTTGGGTAGACTCCGAGCCCCTCAGTGGGGACTTATAGTGATCTGATGATGATGATACGACATTAAAACATTCATGGCAACCTTGCAAGTAGCATGGATTCGTGTTACAATAACTCATCGTATTAACACTAAATTTAGTTTTACAATCCTTAAAAAGTCATTAAGTTATAAAAAAATAATAAATTTTATTATCAGTAAACTTTTGCAAAAAGTTTCATCAATATTCAAAAAGTTAACAGACTTTTCAAACATTCGTGTATACGAACTTTTGTGTAATCAAAGTTATGCAAAGTTAGCGCAGCTGTTACGGACGAACTTTATACTTAGAAGCATTACTTAACTTTGCCCTTAAGTTATTATTGAAACATTTCAGGAACTGCGAACGTAAAAAGTAATTTTGGTTTCACTTATTTTATATTATAGTTTAATTATTTTATTAAAATAGTTTTCACAGAATAGAAGTAAATGCCGTTCTTTTTCAAAATCAATCAATAATACATCGACACAAAAGGATCACAAAGCAAACATTATTGACAGCACGCAACAAGTCGACCTTTTTTTTATGAAGAGCGTGTTTTATACAGGAATAATTCTATCACGTTGGCTGGCATGTGCTACGAATAACAAAGGAATAAAGATCAGAACCAACACGTCATATTTTGTAAAGAGACATGATCAAAATCTTGATTTTTTATAACATTATAACTCTATAATACCAATTTATAAATTAAGATAATAAGCCGATGAAGGCATTTAAAATAGGTTATGATTTTAAATACTAAATTTAGTTTACTGGCATGATTTATATTTTGTTCAAACGTGCCGTTTACAAGAATTAAAAAAAATCTTCAAAAAAGGTTAATAATCTCTATTACATACCTTTTATAAGTTTTAGACAAATAACAGCTAATTTTAATGCATACTAGAGACTATACAACTAAAAGCTACCATAGAATCGAATGTACCCTACTGTAGTAATACTTTGGTAGCCATAGCATCTAAATATAAACTCAATTAGTCACATTAGCATATCAACGTGCTGCTTCCAAGTGATAAAAGAACCGTGTGTACCGCGCACGTTGTGGGGGCACATTGTCAGCTGCGCGCCGACAACCAGCGCGGCACGCCACCCTGCAACGTGCAATGGAAACACGCCACGCCACTCCCACAAACAGAAATACCCAGTCTCGGCGCATTATCAGTCACGTAGTTTTAAAGCCAACTAGAGATAAATTTGACTACAAAACATTGTAATTTTATTTTGTACTAGCTGTCGCCCGCGACTCCATCCACGTGGAGTTAAAAAACTTAATAAGTAGCCTATGTATTCTTCCAGACTATATTTTTATCTGTGCAAAATTTCAACAAGATCCGTTGAGCCATTCCGGAGCTAACTTCAAACAAACATCCATACATCCGTCCATAGTAAGATAATAAGTCTAACCATACCGTTATCTCTGTTATTCTTTTTGAAATAACATAAACAACATTGTGTAGAGAACAGTCAAAAATCTCTGTATAAAACATATCATCATTTCTGTCATAACCTTTGGCGAAACAGAGATAGTAATATGTTTTAAACGGAGATTTTGGTCTCAGAAACCCACCATTATGGAGATTCTAAAGTATGATAAATAAGGTCTTCTTTTATCAAACTTTTTGGTAACACACCAAAATTGTAAAAAAATTTTGATTTCTATCTTTAGTTATTTCTTAAATTATTTTTAGCTCACTTCACTAAAAAGTCACTTCAGAACAAAGTGCACGAAAAGGTAAAAATAACTAAAAATAAACAAAATGATCACGACTTGTGTATGCATCATTATCTTACGACGTACAACAAGACAACGTGCTTGGAATATTTACAGCAAAGTTTGCAACGTGCGACCGAACGACAACATTTGACATCACATGAATTATTAATAGAACTTTATCATACGTAATGTTTACGTCTCTTCGTGTCTTATAAGATGAACCAGATGATATTTACTGGGGTAAATTCTTGAGGAAGCAATTCATTCAATATTGTTTAAATAAATAATTAATATGTTGGCCAAAATAAATGAGGAAAATGCCCAATATTTTTTGATAATTATTTTTGCTAAATCCTTAAAGATGGTATTTTTCTTATAAATTGTATTAAATAATTTAAATTATTATAGATTTTATATATTTTTGTAGCAATAGTAAGATAATATTTCTGAACGAAACTGCATTTATTTTATCTGTGCACGCATTCATTTCGCGCCACTTCTGGTCACAATACGCGGGAATTTGCGCACGTTTTGTACCGAACATGGCCGCAAACGTGATCTTATTATTATAATTACATGCTGTAAACCCATGTCCATTATAAAAAAAAAAAACTAATTATTCATACCTGTCGAGTATCTGACACTAATTAATATAACAAAAAATCCTTTAAAGCAACAATCATCTTATTGTGATTTAGTTATAGGTATTCTATAAAGATATTATGGTTAACTAGCATCTTAAACAACTAACTTCTAAATTTTCGCTTTTATAATATTAGTTAGATTATTTTTCCTATAAAAAGGTTTTAGTCACGTTGACATTTTCTATAACAGAGTTTCATATAACAGCAATAAAAGGGATCACTAAACGAGTCACTTAGTGTTAGTTTTAATATTATAAGAGAAATCTACACAATTTATTTGCTTGCTATGGAATAGCAAAACATTAGATGTCTCTGGAACTGACGGAAATGTGGAAATATCCAACAAAAATATGGACTGCGTAATGTTACACATGCAACAGAACGTGTCTTGTAAAGTGAGCACCAACGTGCGCCGCGCCCGGACCTAGCCGCGTGCCTCACACATACCTCACTTACAACACCTTGCTTTGACACCAAAGAGTTTCAAATAGAATTTGAGTATAGAGTGGACATTACGGACAATTTATTTAAAATATTTTAAGCATAATCGCGCATCAGTACCACTATCTTTCACAATAATAATGTCGATAAACGAAACTCTACCAATAACAGAGTTCTTTGACTTTAGAAGTCTAACAATTGTGGAAATATTAGGTAAAATTTTATCAAAATCATTTTTTACATTAATCTTGGTATGTCTGTGTTGACCTTTATGCTGTTGCGTACTCTGAAGTGTGGCGTTGGTGATGAATCATATGTGGCGTTATGCGACGACTGCTATACGTCATATTCAATATGATGCGACTTCCATTACTTCTTTAAGACTGACTTGTTTGTAGGTACCTGAAATACTTAGGTATTTTGACTGACATCGTGTTTAGGGCTGTAAAGCGCAGAGGCAGCCCTAATAAATTAATAATAAAATACCTAGGATTTCTTCAGGAACTCTTGTTACTATAGTTTTCATCGTTACTTGTGTATTTAGTAACTATAAAACGATCTCATTATAGAGAACACTAGTAATTATAGTGAATTATTTTGTTACATAAGTTAATGTGCGTAAAGTTTAGCATATATCTACACGCTTTATTTTTTAATTGCATGTCGATGTATGATCACAAAAATCACAAGTCATTAGTCGTCACAGACGTTTGGAATGAATTATAGTTAACACGAGCACGTGCAACACAATGCGTGGTAAAACCATCCGACCGCATTTATCGGGGAAAAACGGGTTACCAGCTAAATGTCACAATTAATTCCACAAAAATGGGGAAAATTTTCTTTTTAAAATATTGTTATTTCAAAACGTATTAGTAAACTATTCACAAATAATAATACTTAAAATTCTTCATTGATTTTTGTACGCTTTGTGTGGAACAAAGAACATTTAATGTAAGTGAAGATTCTAGCTTGTCTTGTCTGTATATTATTGTCTAACATTTACTGACTTAGTATTGGCTTTCTCTTGCATATTGAGAATATGTGTATTGTGAATCTTCATTTAGTATTTTGATTTTAAGAAATTCATTTATCATTACTATAATTAATATTAATAATGAAATGATTTAATAGATGTATTCCAAACAAGATTCGAATTAGAAAATACATCATTTCCAATTAAATTATTAAAAAAAAACAAATCTATTTATGGGGTAATTTGAATTATTTTACAACAACACCGCTTTCTATCTCGCTCTTATGAAGCGTGGCCCGACCGCTTGCTGGCGCGCCATCGATTTCCAAAGTCGCGAATCGTCGTCAATTCTCCGCTCAGCACTCGAGCAACACAGACGTTCCGCGCAACAAAAGCAACAGATTAACTGACTGTTCTCTGTTCAGTGTTTTGTGAAACCAGCAAGCTGTGTTATTCAAAGAAAATGTGTGAAAAGAGAACGAGAAAAATTAAAAAAGGTATGTGCATTTTTTAATAAATAACTTAGTAGAATTGAGGACAATTTATTTCCTAAGCCGTAGTTCAACTAGTTTTCCAACGACTATGCACTGACCTACCGCAAACAATGACGTGCCGAGTGAAATCATTCAGGATTGTGCGAATAACAAACAATATTATGAGCATTATCTAGACATCATTTTAAATTATTAAAAATTTTAAAAACAACAATAAGTTAATAAAATTATTATTTTTATTTATGTAGTCTAATATTTATTTCACTGGACATTACTTCAAATAGAAATATAGACGGAAACTTAAATACATTTTTTTTATAATTATGTACAAGTATAGCTACAGTGCCTACGTAACATGCGACACATGCCTACGACTATAATCCTGTCACTTTCGGGAGTTACTAAATAAAAGATAATTAAATGTTATCGCCTATAAGATTAATGTTTTACAATTAATATTACAATCGCAAAATGATAATTTTTTGTTTACAAACTCAACTATGTGACGTAACATATCGTTGTTTACATTTTACAGCGTGGGAATGTGACTTTTACTTTTAGAATGTAAACAAATTGTATTATATTTTGTGAGAATGGGAAACTGAAAAGAAAACTAATTATTTTAATTTTTAATTCTAAACTTTGAAGGAATACATTCAGATAGTAAATCGACAGTATATTCTCAATAGATTTATTATAACCTTACGTCAAATTGTGATCGCTTAAGAACTTTCCAAACCATTTACCGTTGGTTTTTGAGACAAAAATCTCTATAAGATATATCTCCATCCCTGTTATTATCTTTGACAAAACAGAGATAACAATATGTTTTAAAAGGAGATTTTGGTCACAGTGAAAGTTCTTTCACACGACTTGTAAGCTCGAAGTGAACGGTATAAACAAAACATGTATTTTATAACAATCTGTGCTCATTATATCTGAAGATTTTGTACTTAATAGACCTCCGTCCCCGCACCACGTCGCCCCCGCACTCGCTCACGTTAAGATCAATACGGTTACCGACCATTTATTTGATATTAAAAGGCAGTATTTCGTATATGGTGATGTCTAGAATACGACTTCGTCTGATTTAAAGAATCTCTTCATCTTCGTTATATATGTACCGTAATTTCATCTCTATCCATTTATTTAATTTGGAAAACTTATACATAAAAAGTGAGGTTTTTGAAGATAATAAGAATACCGTTTATGTTATCTTTTTTTATAGAAACGATCACACCTGATGTGGTCGAAAGATGGTACGCTCTAGCTTAGTAAATAGTTATTCACTCTACTCTTGAAGACTCCTTACATACTTGGACGGAAAAACTCTCGTCGTCAATTTGTTTCAATCGTTTGCAGTACGCAAGGATCGATGATTTAAACCTTAAATCATGTGCACGGAATTCAATTTTAATGTCTTGATCACCGATGCTTTTTAATGTTTATTTTAACAACAAAAGTTACGACAGTTGTTGCAATATAAATTTATTAAATAATTATACATATCTACGGAACAAACATAACTCTCTATCGCAAAGGAACAGAATTGCATGCTTCCGGTGATATTACAATGCACTTCCGGTAAAGATCGCAAATACTCAGACAATATATTTTTCAAAGCGTAGGAAAATTGTATTTTTAAATTAAAGTAAAAAGTTAAAACTAACTTATTAGAAAAGTAGTTTCTACTTCTATTGATATATTTTATATAGTAATGTAAATATGCCTAGAAATTTTTAATAACATCCTTTAAGTTAACATACCACACAAACCATGATATTTTAACCTTCTAAAAGCCCTAAGGTAATAAAATAACTTGTTTATAATTTGAATAATTAACATGACAACGATAAAAAAACAATTTATATACATAATATAATGAAAACATATAATATCACACGTTTTATGTATGTTAATTAAAGCACATATGTTACTTAAATTCTCACCTATTTACTACCATATTGAAAAACATGTCTTGTTGAAATATATTTCATTGCAAAGTGTTTGTTTCTTATTTCGTACGTAATCTATTTATAGCATTTTTAATTCCTTTATCATTAGCATACAGTCCTTTTCATTATAACTTCACAATATCAATAATTAAAAATGAATGTCATTATTTTATCATGAATAACAAAACGAGGAAACGTAGGCATTTACAATTTTTTTAATCATATATTTACCTACATATACAGATATAGCGGCTATAAAATAAATGTTACTTATCCCACACGTGTTTTGAACATTTATGTAAACTCAATGTTATAAAATTATAATGTAAGCTCGACTTTTGTAAGCCTTCATCGGTTATCTATTCCATAAGCTAAATTCTCACGTAAAGAATTATATAGGAGTAAAAGATTCAAATTATTTCAAATATTACGGGGCTAATAATGTTATGGTATGATAAAAACTTTAAGCGATAAACCCAGTAATTATAAAAGAACAAAACATGCAAATGTAGTCGAGATAAGTAAATTTAAGCGTTGCATTCAATGACCTAGAAAGGTGAGGAGTCTACCTGACCGTAATGTAACGTAAGTCTGCCAAGATCATGCGAAATGTAAATCCGTTGTCTGTCTGGAATTCAATGCTTTTATCTACTTATTGTAATTTATCTATAAGGAGAAAAAGAATAATTTAAAAGATACGGAAATATACTACTGTATTTATACCGTTGTAAGTAAATTAACTAACCATTTGTCTAAATAAAAAAAGATCGTAATCAATCTCCAAAGTTTTATAGTCATATAGTCGTGAGATCTAATACACAAAAATATAGAAACCGGTATTGAATTATATAAACTAAAGGAAATAAAAAAGCTATAAATAAAATATTGCATAAACAAAAACGTGTTTTATGTAACAGCAATTACTGAACGCATTCATCCTTGCACAAATTTCCCAACGTAACAGTCACGTGGCCACACATTCGCGCGCTGTTTTTGTTGATGGCCATTTTTGGACGCATACGATACATTAACGTGACTCTTTGGTGTTTGCATCCATTATTTATATAAGGTTTTACGTAGACTTGTATATAATTAAGTTCCGTTGTGACCGAAAGGAGCTTAAGCGACCTAAACTTGTTTTGATGTGTGAGGTGTCACTCAATTCCTGACGTAGGAATACAATCAGTCCGGTATTTTTTAGTTTAAGTAGTAATTAATAGTTTTTTATCTGATGGGATGGAACTGGAATTACGTCGAATTTAATAAATATTACATTATATATGTGCATAATTATGTGCATCATATCTATATCTACATATGTCAAAATATTAATCTTTAAAATCACATCGTCAAAACTTCACATGTTTTTTCAAAGAAGACATAAGCGTCGTTTACTGTAGAAAGTTATTATTAAACTATTAATGATAAATCTTTTTTCAGTAAATTAATAATAATAATGTCTCACTTTTGATGGTTTTTAATGTAATATAATTTTAATAATTAAATTTATGTTTATAACAAAGATCTGGTAATATTTTTACGAAAAAAAATGTAGAAGTAAAAATATGTACTTTTGCGCTTAAAGTTTTACCGTTACTGACGGGTTAATGTACTGCTCATGAATGTACATAATATGCAGCTAACATATAAGTATTCAAAATGACAAAAAATATAGCGTCAGGTCTTCACCGAGCATACATTTGAACTTCATTATTATAATTTTACATATTTTTTACCATTTTAAACTGTAATTTACACAAATTAAATGTAAATTAACCAATTTTTACTATGAAGCCAAAATGTTAAAAATAAATCGAAATAATACATAGAACCTAACTAGCGCGAATATTTTCAAGACGTACATTCGTAACGTCATCGATTCTCAAAACATTCTCACGAATGCTTGACACTCGGATACTTTTAGATCTTTTCATGGATGAAATTGCATGAGTAGTATTAACTAAATAAATGCTGGCCTATAGATAGTACAGGCACATGTAGCAAGATAGTTGCATCACGTTGCAGTAGAGAGCGGTGTTTGATTACGAGGAATGGCGTAAGAGCCCACGTGACTACGCTATGTGCATTCAACAGTTCAACGCTCCTGTCATTGTGCGGTGGATATTTGCGATAGGTGTCAGGCTTTTAGTTATAGATAGATTTTCCGGTTTTTGTGCTATTGTAATAAATTCAATTGGTGCGATGAGCTCGTGTAGAAAAAAATATTTTATCAAAATTACAAAGTATTACTACGCTCTATTTACATTACATTCGTATCTACAATTTTTGGATAAAATTAGTAGGATAATAAATAGCTTTATTCACAAAAAAGTAACGAGAGTGTTATGAGTACTGTATCGCACTAAAAAGGCCGTACTCTCTTCGGTGAGATAAACAATCAAAACTACAATAAAATGTTTCACACGACTTACTTCAAGGTCATTTATGTTTACTAATTAACCAATTTCTCATTGTTACAGGATCACAATTAGCCCGCGTTCGCGAGGCCAGACGCGCTCAGCGTCTCAACTGGCGCGCTACGAACACCGCAAGAAGTAACAACCCAAATCCAACACCATGCCCCGCTATGGAGGCACGAAAGACCGCACAAAACCGCGTCATACTCGAACTAGCGTGGAAAACGATCGCACTAATGCACAAAAACAGACTGATCCAACAGAAAATCATCGCTCTTCAGAAGGAAACGTCAGAATTCGTCGCCGCCATGATGAACAACCCTGAAAACAGACGACGCTATATGGAACAAATATGTCTTATTGACGCTCAGCGTCAAAACATTGATGCTATCAAACCCATAAAAATAGAGCCAGACGCGTAAATGATGGGAATGGATGAATGGAACTTAAAGAGTGAATGATGGGTGTAACCTGATTGTGATCTGCGAATTATATTCGTGCTTTGATCTTTCTTATCTAACGTATATTTATTATAATAAGACTATTAGTGTTACTTGAATATATCTCAGCAGGGATGATTGATATTGTAATGCATTCGATTTTAAAAGCGCAAAATACCCTTATTCGAGATATTTAATATTTAATAGAACATAACATTCGATATTTATTGTACATTTAAAAATGCATAATTTAATTAAAAATAAGCTTAATATTGATTAAAATGTGTAATTGAAAAAATATTTATTTTAATATCATTCATGCCATTAAAATATCGATACTTTGGCTCCTAGACTATAAAATATCTAATGAACTACAATATCGATCATCCTTAGAAATTATCCTGATCCTTTTTGTATTGCTATATATCTGACAGCCTTAGTTATATCCAAGTCGATGTACTTATTAAGATATAAAAGCTTTTTGATTTAATTAAATCACGGCTTCCAGCAATAATACTTAACTGCAGTGTCTTACTAAAACGTTGTGGTTAAATATATGTAGTTATTCTTGTTGTTAATTAAAAATAACTGAGGTTGTATCTAAGAGGCTGGTTTATATGTACATATACATTTGTAAAGAATCTTCGTACCATTTTAGTATAACTTTTTATTATATTTTCGTGTTTAAAAATGGAAATATAAGGATGCAGTGGATTGTATTTCCAAAAGATTCCCAAAATATGTAGTATTAAAAAAATGAATGACCGTGGTATTAAAAGATGTTGCCTCTTACAGACTGGTTTAAAATAATTCATAGTTTGTTTTTAAAAAAAAGTTAAAAGGCCATTTTTTTTATAAGTTCTTAATGCACGAATGGCTATAGAATATTGTCTATTGTGCGTTCAATAATAATTCAATGATTTCTTCTATTGTTACATTATTAGAACGCCTTGAGCCATAGTCTCTTTGCTTTGTATTACATAATATTATTTATGGTACGAAGAAAGCTTGAATTGGTTAAAAAATACTCCTAGTTTAAGTCAAAACGACAGTATGTTGTTTTTTTTGCTTAACGTCAATAAGTGCATCCTTTTACTTATAAGAAAATACATATAGAGAACTTTAATATTTTAAGTTTTTTTCGTCACTCTGTTGGTCTAGATTGCATTTAATAGAACGTAGATAACCCAATGCACAGATCTACCAAACACTGTGTTCATTTTAACGTACCTAGAACTTACATTTTTTTTATTTAGTTACACAATTTAATTATTAAGTGTGTAGTGTGTAGCCATATGTAATATTTATGAAATGGTTGTACAAGTTTCAAATGTACACAGATTCGAGTATGAATGAATACCATTTTATTTGTTTGAACAAAAGAGGTTTCAAAGACAAAATAGTGTGACTGTTTGCGTCATAATATGGTCACTTTTTAAATACAACATGGTATATGGGAGTTTTAAATTGTTATGAATGTTAATGTTAAAAATAAAAGTATTATTATTATAATGGCACAACTCTCCCCGTGTTTTAAATTCTATGCATGTTACGCTTAAAAAGACCTGTGTATATGTATGTGGTTTATGATTGTTGTAATAAAAATATACTAGTCCTTCGCAAATAAAAACTTATTTTATTACAAACAAGCTATCGCCAGCGACTCCGTCCGCGTGGATATATAAAAAAATATTAATATATAGATAAGTTAAATAAAAAGCGGCTCTTCAAGCCATAAATTCGAAAAAAAAAAGTATCCTACGTCCGTGTCCTGGCACTAAGCTACCTCCTCGCAAATTTTCAGCCGTTCTTGAGTTATAAATAGTGTAACTAACACGACTTTCTTATTTACCCAAATATAACCATAGTATATCTTACAATATCTTACCAGTATACCAATTCCTGTCAGATTTCAGAATAACAATCCCAAAGTCAAAATATCAAATCGTATTGGTAAAGCTTATTGGAATCAAGAATGACGGATAAGAGAAAATAAAACTCCCCATATCTTTACTAACAATATGTCCAAGTGAATTTAATTTTAATTGAATCTTAAATATAATGCATGAGATCAAACTCTAGTTCTCTCCTCTTCCTCTTCCCCTTGGAGAAAAGGTTAATGGGTTAAGTAAGACATAACTATCTATTACCTATTTAAGGTATCATATGTCCACTTTAAAAAAATGTTTCAGTTTATCATTTCCATTGATTTCGATCAATAAGCTCGATGCAACGAGCGTCGATGGCGCAGTTGGTAAGCGGTTAATCGGACCAAACCGTAATCTAAAACGTCAAGGTTCTCAAGATCTCCATCAGAGCATGGGTAGGCTAAGCCTTTTGTTGAACACATAAAATAATGAGCTGACGACGATATTATACGTAAAGATTTTAAAGGATTGAAAACAATTATTAAAAGTGGTATAAGGAAAATTTGCTACTGCTATTTGTACAGGTGCAGGCTTAAAAACATAAACTGCAGAAGAACTGTGTAACAAAATTCTTCACAACTTCTTTTTTATTAACTTTATTCATATTTTATTAATTAAAAATTATCTTGTAAAAATAAACACTTTTTAATTTCGAAATGAAAAGAAATGATTTTGTAATTCATGAAAAAACACATCGAATTATTGCCATTTTCGAAACTTTGACAAATAGCAGATGATAAGTGACAGACAGTGACAGCTGCTTGCATTGAACATCATAGGTTATGTGTTTAAATAATAATTTAATCCTAATAATTAAATGAAAATTACAACAATTATAGCAATATTTTACAAACACAGTTATCTTCACATACGTAAAATAGACAAACACAATGAAAGCACTCATACAGCGGGTTAAAAATGCTAAAGTGACCGGTAAGTTCTGTTGTCTGAATAACCCTCATTTAACAGTTTATTTCAGTATTAATAAGACAAAGCCACTCCGTTAAATAACATGCCTTTTAATGTGCAAAATCTGACTATAGGATCTCATTTCCAGTTAGAATAATTTTAGAATTTATTTTGGTTTAAGGAAAGATTGAAAGATGATAGTGGTCTTTAATATTGATATTAAAAGTAAAATATGTTGTACAATTAGAAATTGAATTTGCTGCAACTATAGAAAAACCTTATACTTGTACTAATCTACATATATTTATTCTAGTTAGAGGATTAAAATGAAACTTATTTTTTTTTCAGTAAATGATGAAGTAATAAGCAGTATAGAGCAAGGAGCATGTGTATTAATTGGGATATGCAGTAGTGATACCATAAAAGACATGGAGTATATGTAAGTGAATATAATTTCCAATGAATTAAGGTTCCATCCACACCACCTGGATGGCTGGCATTCCACAACGTTGCGATTCTCGCGCAACTTCTTGCCTCGCACAGCCGCGTTGTGGAACGGTCTGTCCTCGGCGGTATTTCCAAACCAATATGACTTAGGGTCCTTCAAGAAGCGAGCCTATCACCACCTCAAAGGCCGGCAACGCATCTGCGGTTCCTCTGGTATTGTTGATGTCCATGGGCGTCGTTGAACACTTCGGTGTTCCCGCTGCTCGTTTGCCCCCTTCTGTTATAAAAAAAAAATAATAATAATATACTTTTAACAACTCTAAGAAAGTCAGACCCAGAACATACTACCAAAACCAAATTTAATACTTGATTTACTAAACTGAATTCAAAATTAGAAAAAAATATTTTTAACCTACATTTTTAAATAAATGCTTTACTGTAACACTAATTTACACTTATGTGGATCCATTGACTCCTTAACTACTGATAAGCCCTGTACTTCAGGAGCCTATCTCTTCCTCTTATTATAAATTTGATTTTGCATTTAGTGCCTAAAGAAAAAAATTAATTAATTATGAGTTGGTTCGGATTTGGCTTTTAAATATTTATACTTTTGTTCTTATATTTCAGAGTGCGAAAGCTGTTAAGTATAAGGTTATTTGATGATGAAAATCATAAACGATGGCAGAAAAGTATTGTAGATAAGCAATTTGAAATACTATGTGTCAGTCAATTCACTCTATACAATACATGGAAGGTTGGTTTAATTTATAACATTTTTAATAATATTAAAACCATTAAATCTTGATAATATTTCAGATATTTATGTCTATTTATTTCAAGATAATGAGAAGGATAAATTAACAAGAATTTTATTATGTCTTCAGGGTAACAAGCCTGATTTTCACAAGGCAATGGCTGCTGACAGATCAAAGGAGTTCTACGAGCAATTCATTCAAATGCTAAGAGAAAAATACAAGCCAGATAAAGTTAAAGGTATGCATACATATCAAATATCACCGGCAAATTCTAAGTGGCACACATTTGTTTTTTATCTAAGCAAATTGCATATAAACCTTAATGGATATATGGCTTGGTGGGCATAAGAAACACTATATTATGCCTTTTGTACCATTTTAAATGTTGAAGTAGGTTTTATATATTTTTTTAAACCAACCAATAGCAGCACCTCTCCGATTCAACTAAACATTGTTGACAAATAAATTCATTCACACATTAATTAATGACAACCGATTTTTTTTTTTTTTTAAGTATCACCTTTACAAAGTGTCTAAATATAATCGAAAATATTCGACCGATTTTTATTTCCGTTTTATTTGGTTGGTATTAGAATAGGCAAATTGTTCCATCGACAAGGACGCCATCGTTTTTAAAATTTCCAGCAGAATTGGTTGTAAAGTGAATTTTCTTTAACTCTTAGTTATTTATGTTTATGATTGATGATAAAAATATCTATTTTCAGATGGTGTATTTGGTGCGTACATGCAAGTATCAATACAAAATGACGGTCCCGTTACATTGGAGATAGAATCACCATCTAATACACAAAATAAAACTCCCAATTCTCTCACAGATGGCGTTGTAATTAAAGACTAGCATTTTAATATGTAATTTTATTTTGTACTAATTGAATTAAAAAAAAATATTAGCAGCATATGTGTTCGGAGGAGGAGCGTCGGTGGCTCAGGGGTCACGCACTTGACTTGCAATCTGCAGGTCCTGGGTTCGAATCCCGCCATGCACCAATGTGTTTTTCGATTTCCGATTTACATATGTACATTTATCTGACGTTCTTACGGTGAAGGAAAACATCGTGATGCAACCTGCACATATCTGAGAAGAAATTCAAAGATGTGTGTGAAGTCAACCAACCCACACTTGGCCAGCGTGGTTGACTATGGCCTAATCACCCTTAACTTAGGGTAGGCTCCGAGCCCCTCGGTGGGGACATATAGTGAGCTAATGATGATGATATGTGTTCTTTCTGGCTATGTTCTACAATTATGCCAAATTTCATCAAGATCCATGCAGCCATTCTGTAGATACCTTCAAAAAAACATCTATCTAAACATTCTCATTTATAATATTAGTAAGATGTACAGAACTATTTTTTAATTTATTGAAATTATGTCATATCACTTTGTTTTATTTATAGCAAATATTTTATTCCTTGTGATATCTCAGTAAAAAAGTCAAGTTAACACTTGTAGGATACAAAATAGTATCCAAGTTTTTAAAATTATAAAATATTATTTATGTCCAACAAACAAATTACTTAATGATAATTCAATATTGTTATAGAAACATTAAGTTATTTTGTTGTAATCATTGTTTCCTTTAGTTGTTTGTCATTATCATTATGTTGTTTTTCTCCTCTAATTTGTTTATTATAATTATATAAATTGTTAATTTATTTTCGAAAGTATTACGAACCTTAATGACCTATTAAGTTTTGAACATATATAAATAGAGATAGTAAATTGTAGCATTATTTTATTAAATGCATCGACATGATTCAGTTAAGTCAGTTTGTTAAAAATTAAATCTCTATATAATTTTTTAATAGTTTTGTCAGTCAATGAAAAAGCTGTTCATAAATACAGATATATTAAGAAGAAAGAACTTTTTGGTAATAATTCTGACAAAAAAACATAACTTTAAGGATTTATTTTAATTAACAATTAAATAAGTATCAAGACCTGCAAGGATAAAGTTTTTATAAGTATAAAACAGAAGAAAAAGATGGAATCAATCAACAAGTCTACATCTCCAGACGTGTATGTGAACGTATGCGAAGAATCTATTAGAGAAGATAAAAAGAAGAAAACATCTTCTATTTCGTGTTGGTGTTCAGCTTTCATCAAGTTGATACAGAAGATAAAATCCAAAGGAAATGAAACTGCCGACGACAGCTTGGAAACTATACAGTTGCGTGTTAAAAAATGAAATATTTCTATTAAGTGTCAAAATCTACAATCATATTTAATTACAAGAAGTGTTATGAATGTGAATCGTTTAAGGGCTACTTAAACATTTCCTAATTGTCGACTTAAGCTGTCTGAGCACGACTGTGAAACCTTTAAATTATCAATTAGTGTAAAAATGTGTTACAATGACGATTTCCATCGTATTATTTGTACTAAAAATATTGTCATGTCTGAAATATTAAAAGTGCTATTTCAAGGTTAGAGTCTGTGTATGTATTTATTTAAAGATTTTTTTTTCTCTTTATTTTTTTTAGGGACTTTTGTTCTTAAAAAAAAGAGAAAAAAAATCTTTAAAGATTGTAAAATTTCGTTTCCTTTTTCAGGTAAAATTCTATTTACTGTTGTAATTGACATAAAAATGATAAATCGGTAAAATAAAAGTCACAATTAATAAAAAAAAAAAGTTTATTTTGAAATAATGGTTATTATCTATTAACAGTTGTTAACTTTAGGCCAGTGATTATGCATGACAGTTCAGAACATTACAGTGGCCTGAGCTACGCCTAAATTTATTCAAACACGAGAATATATCCATAAAAACCTACATACGGTCCATCGGATCCGTTAACAGATAATCGACCAAGAATTCAAATACGTTATCTTTATTCTACACGAGTAGAAAATAAAATAAAAAAGTATAAACAGACATAATAAATGCAATCTAATATAAACCATCTATTTAAATATTAAGATATAGAATTTAACAAACGAGAGATTAAAATAAAGTTTTATAAATAGTGTCGTTTATGTTAAGTTAATCGAATATCATCATTTAGCTGTTAGTGCCGCATGATTACTATTTCTATACGGTGTTATATAGACAATATAATCTTACGTTTACGATAATGCCTACGACACTCGGGACAATTCTTATAGAATTCGTCGACTCCGGCTCTCCAACAGCTGTGAAGGCACTCTACCTTTTGGTATATTGCTGATAGGATATCCTCACTCCTCGCAGTATCATCGCGTAAACATATCAAGTGCAAGATTACAATAGTCCTTAGAGTTAGTCCGACAGGCTCACTACGAATCTATCGTCTCGTTACAACTATCCAAATATTACTATTATAAAAATATCTATAAACTATTCTAAATCGAATGAAATGTTACTGGGGACAGGCTAAGGATAAACGACAGATACCCTTTCGGTTATGGACGTTCGTGCATCGCCGACGCTGGAATTTTTGTTGAATTGAATGTGAATAGATTAGTACGTTCGCCGCACCTAGTTTTTCGATATGTGCAGGTATCGGCGGTGGTTTGATGGTCGTTGATGTTGAGTGATGGTCAATCGTGGTCAGTATGGTGAGTGATGATCTACCAAAGGCCGGAGGAGTACCCGCCGGGCGGCACGCGACTGTGGATCAGGTTGTTTCTGCCGTTAATTGACGTCACGGTGTTAATCTGGCCGTTCAAAGATTTGTAGCCGTCGCCGGTGATGGGGTTGCCCTCTGAAAACATTTTAATATACAATTAATTAAGTTCCCACGTATTAACTGATGTAATAAAATCCAAAATAACGTTTCTAAATATTATACTTTAATGCTAATAAATTTAACTATTGGAGAATCTAATAAATTTAACTATTGGTAAATCTATTTTATAGTTAAATCTAATTTCAGACAACATAAAGACAATTGCAAGAAAACACTACATGCATATTCTATGAAGACTTAAGATATAGAAATTAAATTAGATTGCGATTTAACTTAATACAACTATACCATACCGCGTACAACTAACTACTTAAAGGGGCAACGATACAAAGAGCAGAAAGAAAGAGAAGAAAAGGCGTGCCAAATACAACAAATTTTTTATAACAAAGTTTACAACAAATATTCTGTAAAATAACATACAAGTTACGGCTACGACAAAAAGCAGACTTTACCGTAGGCTTCCATGGCCGAAATATTCACAATGTAATAAAACAACATATCTCAGAAAACACTGAAATAACAATGTTTTTATATTGATGTTCCGTGGAAGCCCACTGTAATATCAACCAGGTTACTGACAAAGAAGTAAGCCTTTTTTTAAATAATTCTATTTTTGAATATTTATAAACCAAATATTAATATATCAAAAGTATATATTTAGATAAAAAGATAAATCATACTGATTTGCTTGTCTGGCTTATAAAGTTGTCAAAGTGGACCTCATGTAACTGCTACAATTTATCAACAACAATTTACTAACATTTAATTTAAAAATAAATAATTCTAATTTGCTCTAATCAAAAGAAGCAAATAACAAAAGGGTAAAAAGTGCTTAATTCAGTGACTTGAAGGAATCGTTTTTATCTAATCGAGCAAAATATATTTTCAGTATACACAATTTTGAGAGTAAATACAAGCTTAAGTTGCTTATAAAACAGTGCAAAAGTGTTTATCCTTCAGTCAAAATTAAACACCCACCCAGTTCTCTTTGGCGGACATAATCTACATAGTACGTCTTAGGTTCGGAATCTTCTACATGCCGATTCAAATTAAACAGGTATCCGGGTACGTGCTTAGGGAAAATGGGAGGAAAGCCGGTCAAAGTGAAGGGTCCTGGGGCTTTAGGAGTATCTAGTAAGGTAAAGTCGGGTATAGGAGCATCTCTCTCATATTTAAAGAGGCTGATTGGTGGATTTGTATTTGCAATGACATATGGATCAATAGGTCCGTCTAGAGTGGGTATCGGGTTGTATTTATAGTCCGGTTGAGGTTTGTCTCCTAAAGCTGACGTCATTCCGACGAAAGAATGAGGAGGCAACGGATGATATGGAATGTGATGATGTTTAGGTTCAAGATAATGTTGAGCTGGAAAGGGCGGCCAATGTCTGTCTAGTATTGGTTGAGGTGAAAGCGAATCAGGGTCAATTAATGGATGAATTTTGTCGGGATCATCTGTGCTGAGTCCTAGTAAAATACGAGGAGACTGATAGCACATCGGTCTGGGTTTAATGGTCGATTCGACATGATATTGGCCCGGCTCTGGTGGCCAACAGCGCGTGAAGTATCGATGAGTGGGTTGCGGATTTAGGAGGTTTGGGTCTAGGTCTGGGTTTATGTCAGGCAGAAGGTTTGCGTCGGCACCTCGCAGGCCGGCGGCGGGGTGGCGCCTGCGCAGCGGCGGCATTGGGATCCCATCGCCGGTCACTGGATTCCTCTTCGGTGGCGTGTACGAAGCTGACCATTTACAGAACAAACGGTTTTCATTCAAATCACTCGCTGGCGATTAACCTTCCTATACCCGCGCAAATGTCTGTGAGACCGACGAAACAGTTTTTCGTAAATATTTTTTTTTCCAAGAACTTTGAGAGTTCGCGCTTTCTGCTAGTTGCACGATTTGGGGCTTGCTTTTGGTTGGTACGTGGGACACAGTCGTGCTAGCAGGACGTTTAGGCCTAATACGGTCTATACTACGTACGTATGTACTATTTTTCTCGGAAAGTGTTTGTACTCGGATTGTTCAGTGGACAAATAAAGAAATAAACCGTCTAAAATTTAACTAATTTTATTTTACATTGATCTCAAAATATCTTATTTTTAAGAATTAAAAATTATTTTATGTTTGTTTTTAGAATAAAAAGTTTTATGTTTGTTTTTCATGACTATACGAAAAAATGAGACTTTTTTAAGGCTGTTGTGGAAAGACTGATAGTCATTACAG